TACGTACGTACGTCGTACGTCGTCGTACGTACGTAGTGTAGGTTCGGTTCGTTACGTTACGTTACGTTCGTTACGTACGTAGTTCGTTGTTGTGTGTGTGTGTAGAGAGAGAGAGAGAGAGAGAGAGAGAGAGAGAGAGAGAATTGATTGGTTATTGAGCGCACAGGTTGTGAACCATGGGATAAGCGACGAGTTGGTGGAGAGAATGAGGAAAGAGCAGAGGAAAGTGTTTGAGATGGCATTTGAGAAGAAGCGCAGCTCCAGCTCCCTCAATGACTCCTACAGGTGGGGTGGGGCCCCCAATGCCCCCTCTGTTAACCACATGTCATGGTCCGAGGCCTTCCACGTTCCTCTCTCTAAAATTTCTGACCACCAAGACGATCCTCCCTTCAATTCTCTCAGGTATTCTCTTTCTCTCTCTCTCTAACAGGAATTTATACTTCCTCCTCACATAATGAATGCAATTTATTGCATTCTATGCTTCCAAATGGTTTAGGTTTAATTCCCTCTCTCAGAATTCGAAGTTCGAATTTTGAACCTTCTCTCTCTCTAAAGTTTTATTACTCCCGATTTAAGAACCTTTATTACTCTCTCCTCTCTCATACTTGCACTCTTACCTATAAACTTGAGTTTCTCTCTCTACCTAATAAATTTAGGCATAAACTTGAGTATTTTACTTGTAGTTATCAATAGTGGGCTGGGCTTCTACGATATGTTTTTTTGTTTGGTTTCGTTTTAAGTAAAAATCGAATTTAGTCGGAAACTTATCAAAATCTACATCGGAATTGTTTTGATAAGCTAGTTATATGAAACAAAGTTGAACAATTTTTTGTAACATATTTATATTTTTAAATTATTATTTTTATTATACATTTTATAATTTAATTCAACCAAGATCAAACCAATTTCGATTGGATTTACAATGCTTGCTATTTATTTTAAATTTTTCAGAAATTGCTTCCTTTTTTTTTCACAAAAGAAGAATATAAATAAACCCCAAGCGTTACCTCAAATTGAAAATTACGTGAGGGTCCCAAGATTTTGAGAAAATAATCACCCAAGTATCTCTAATGTCTCATCTTCTCATTTTTTTAAATTTTAGAGGCACTCATCTCTACTACATGACAATAGTGGCCCTTCATTTTGTTTCATGTATTGAATTTTTTACCCCTTCTATTATAAAGCAGGAAATTCCATTTATTTTGCAATAAATGAAAATAAAATTTCATTCCAATGTAGAATTAAGATGACTTCCAAAATTTATGGGTTTATTTATCTTTTATTTTCAAGTAATAGCAATAGCATGAAATATTACACTCTTTTAATACATTTATCTTTTTCATTCGTTGTTTTTATTGTTTAAGTTACCAATTTAATTAATTAAATATCTTTGAAAGTTTATTTACGCTCACATAGGGTCCTAAGATAAAGCTTCCTTGCATATATAGGAAAAAGACATATTCTCAATTTAACATATTTTAATATTTTTATTTTCAAGATAAAATATGAAATGCAATTTATTATTAGTTAATTTAAAATAGCTTCCTTGTATATATTGGAAAAATATATACTCTCAACTTATCATATTTTTTATTTTTAAGATAAAGTATCAAATGCAATTTATTGTTGGTTAATTTAAAATTTTGTACATTTTAATCTTGAAAAATAAATTACGCCAATTTTATTGAAGGGATATGAAAAATAAATTCTAATGTTAGTTTTGAAAGATTCAAAACTGGCTGCGTATACTATACAGGACTTGCCACAGTCCGCTCGGGCTCGGGTGAGTAATAGGACGGTGCCACGATATACACCTCGGTAGGGGTGGCAATGGACCCTGACCCAACCCATACCCATACCCGTCGGGTATACCCGACAGGGGTCCGGGTATGGGTCCAAGTTTTGGACTCGCGGATAGGCTCTGGGTCCAATATAGGATAAACGGATAGTCCCGGGTCCTGGTACAGGTACTCGGACCCGAATTGTTACTCTACCTAAAAGTCAAAGCTCCAACCCTAAAATCGTTTCAATACTTTTCGTTTTCTTCTAGTTCTCCAAACAACCAAACCCCATCGCTATCCTCCCTCTCTTCAATTCTCCCTCTCTCCATGGAGACATAACTCTCTCTCTCAATTTTGAATGTCTCTCTCTCTAATTGCCCACCCCTCAAAAATCAGTTCTTTGTTGGTCACCATTGTAGGCTACGAAAAACTCATAGTGAGGGTGACAATAGACCCGACCAGACCCGGGACCTAATAGATACGGGTATGGGTCCAACTTTTGGACCCCGACAGGTAAGGTCCGGGTCCAAAACCTGGACCTGAATAAATTCGGGCATGGGTCCGGGTCCAGTTGAACTCGATCCATACCTGACCCATTGCCACCCTTGCACTTCGGGGTACATAAAAAAATTAAAAAAATTTGTAAAAAGAAAAAAAAAGAAATTGTTCTATAAATGTATTATATATTTTTTGGATACTTTTGACAAAGATTGGTGAGTTTTTTTGGACATAATCCCTATTTTTATTATTTATTTTCTTAGATTTTTTTAAATATCGAACCATAAATCATTTTCTTAAAATCCTTTTTTGTTATGCTTTTTGAAGCTTAATAGGAGTTTTTAAGGTTTTTTTAGGTTTACTTAACTTTTAATAGCGTCATTTAATTTTTGTAATTGTTTTACATATTTATCTAGGGCTTTTGGCCTTGTACAGGAATTGGCCAAGTCCAAGTAACTTGGCTGAGATGAGTTCCTGATCATCGCTTTTAAGAATTTTATGTCTATGATCAAACTTTTATTGCTTTTTTCATGTACATGCATCGCAGGTGCTAATGACTAATTTGTCTTAATTTTTCTATAAATGGTCTTCTTCTTCTTCTTTTTTTCCTACTTTTGTAAGAAATAGCTTCTGAAATTTTTTGACTCTTATCATAGGTTGGTGATGAAAGAATTTGCCAAGGCTATGGCCGAGCTAGCTCTATCATTGTCCGGAATCCTTGCCAGAAAACTCGGACAGTCACCGGAATACTTCCCGGAAAATTGTGACGAGAGGACATGCTTCCTGAGACTTAACCGTTACCCACCATGCCCCTTTTCACCTGACGTTTGTGGACTGGTTCCTCACACTGATAGTGATTTTCTCACTATACTGTGCCAAGATCAAGTTGGGGGCTTACAGCTCATGAAGGATTCAAAATGGGTCTCAGTTAAGCCCAATTCAAAGGCTCTTATTGTTAATATCGGCGATCTCTTTCAGGTAATTCCTCTATCATGCTTTTATGTAGGTGCATGTGAGAGAGTCAGGAATGGGGTTTGTAGCATCGGTGGTTAGAAGGGTAGATGCCTCGATATAACGTCCTTTTTTTTTTTTTGGGTAATTCAATAGATATGATGAGCTTCTACCTGTTTTTTCAAATCATTAGTAGTTTTTGAATACGTTAGTTGAGAATGAAAACCTAAATTTTAGCTGGGGCACAAGCGGGGCTACCACTTGTGCATTTGGCAGTGTCTAAAAGTACTCCGGGGCTCTATTCTTATCGAGCTAGAGTCGCCCTATTATTAAATTTTAAATTAAATTTAAGTATATACAAGTAATAGAAGATAATTCTTATTCTTATTTTAAATAAATATTTTAATAATTAAAATGTTTATTTATACTATAAAATGAAATTAATGCCCTATTATGCTACTTAAATAGTAATGGTTTGAATAATAATATTCTTATAATAATTGTATTATACATGATATTATAGTTGATGTATACTTTATAAAATAATCAAAATAATAAAAGAATCTATAATGAAAACAAAAATAAAAATAAAAAGTCAAAGTAAATTCAATGTAAATAAATTACAAAATAAATTAAATAATGACATGTAATAGGTAATAATAAATAAAAAGTAGAATTAAAGTCTGGCTAGCCATGGGTTAGTGTGGTGTTTTAAAATAAGATAAATTTATCAAAATGCGCCTAATGTATCAACTATTTATGTGGTTTTTTATAGTAAGGGAAACTTATCAAAATGCACCTAACTTTTCAGCTGTTTACGTGGTTTTTTTTATAGTAAGGGGAACTTATCAAAATGCACCAAACTTATCAGTTTTTTACATGGTTTTTTAAAAGAAAGGAAACTTATCAAAATACATCTAATTTATCAGCTATTTAACATTCTACCTATTTTCAAAATATTAAGTAGTGGATGTGATTTAATGAGATTTTGTAAATTAAATTAAAAGATATAGACAAAATGTTAAGTTGTTCATCTCTTAGGTCCACTTTTTCAAATTTCCCTTGAGCAAAAAAAAATATTAATCTCTTTAAAATTGCTAAAAAAACCTCAGGAATCGCTCTTCCCAGTTCGACCCATCAATTTTAAAATAATTGTATTTTTTTACTAATATTCAAGTTATTCCACAATATATTGTTTACGATATGAAAAGTATATGATGCAAAGAATATGACGCTATCGTTTGTGTTTCCTACAGTTCTATAGTACTGGCCCTGACTGTTAGATGTCAACAATTGACAGTTGATGGACGGCCTTCCGCTGCTCAAAATCTGCTAAAATATTCGACAGGCTTTGAGTGGAAGAAAGCCCCTGTTCTTTGTTCTTGAATTTGGACAGCTAGGATTCCTATAGATACCAGTGGGTCAAGGGGAACAGTGTGCTCCTTGGATTGTAGTCGTCCAATCAATAGATCACATGGAAACGGCATGTAGTTGTCCGATGCATCAAATCATTGACATACCCCAAGCACCACCGTCCAATCAAGTGATATGACAGCCGCAGAACCATGTGACCATATTATTTTTTAATTCATAGGAGATCAAAATTGTCATGGGCTTCCTCTTCTCACTATTCAAAATATTCAGAACCAAAAAAAATAATTTTTTTTTTACAAGATGTTAACAATTGAATACTTTAACCACATCTTTTAATTTTAAAGAAAGTATTTATTTATCTCGTATTTTTAACTTTCATAAAGACTCAAAAATTAAAAATATTATTTGTAAGCAAAAAGTATACATATTTTCTATTTTACAACCCCCATGACCCCTTTGATCATATATTTTTAACCCAAACAAAAACTAAAATGACACATTATTCAAACTTCATCTTTCTCTCTAAAACTCAATGTCTCCCTCTTCGCTTCTCGGTGACTTTACTAGACAAAGGGTTTAGCTTGAGCTCGAACACGAGCCCACCTTATACGTGTGAGAGAGATGGTGTTTTAGAAAGAGAGAGATGGAGTTTGGGTTTTAGAAAGAGATGGAGTTTTAAAGAGAGAGAGATGAGTTTAAGTTTTAGGGAGAGAGATGGAGTTTTGAGAGAGAGAGAGAGAGGATGATGTGAGAGAGAGAGATGGAGTTTGGGTTTTAAAGAGTTGGAGTTTTGAGAGATAGAGACGATGACGTGAGAGAGTGATGGAGTTTTAGAGAGAGATATATATATATAAAGTAATTTCATAAGTTGTTGAGGTCAATAATACATGGTCAAAATGATTTAGGGGATTGGAAGAAAAAAAAAATGGAATTCATTTGCTTACATGTAATATTTTCAATTCTTGGATTTGACGAGATATAAAAGTTAAACATAGATGAAATATGATATTTTCTCTTAATTTTATTGCCAAATGCCTATTAAATTGCACATGACCGTGAGTTGGAATAGTTTCAAAGGGCAAAGTGTTGAATTGTTGAAAAACCAAGTGCATTTGATAATTTTCCTAAAAAAAAGTAAAAGGATCTCTCTCTACCAACCAATGTAGAACTGGAAACCGGATCAAGAATTCCCATGAATTTGTCTCGCAGGCTTGGAGCAACGGCGCGTACAAGAGCGTGGAGCATAGAGTGATGACTAATCCAACGGTGGAGAGACACTCCATTGCCTACTTCCTTTGTCCTTCATATGAGGCCCCCATATCAACTTCCTTACAACCTCCTCTTTACAAGAAATTCACTTTTAGAGAGTTCAGGCAACAAGTGCAAGAAGATGTGAAAAAGATGGGCTACAAAATTGGCCTCCCAAGATTTCTCCTATGAAAATTCCCATCAAATCATTCATACCAATTATTGTTCCTTGTGATTATAATAATAAAAAAAAGAAATGGTTTTTCGTTTTTAGCCCTGCAAATGGGACTTTGGAGCCCCAAGAATTTGAAGCAATAATGTTTGGTGTGCCATGGTTGGGGGCCTCTCATAATTTTGATGGCAGTAACCTAAGACGTAGGTTTCATTATTTGTCATGTTTTTTGCATTTTATGTTTACTGTGTAAGAATGCATCCCCTTGTTCACGTTTTAGATAAGCCTGTTATTATTAATAATAAATAATTCTCTTCTTCTTTTCTTTTTTCTTTTTTTGTTTTTTTTTGACAATCTTACAAATTTTTATTGTCTACGCTAAAAAAAAAAATTACAAAATACTCAAAAAGGAGGAAGCTCATTTAGAATTAGTGTTTCCAAATTGTGTACTTCACCTTCACCGCTGAAAGCCAAAGTTGATCTTCACACTGAATAATTCTCTGCCACCATTTTGCCAAAAGAACTTTTAATTTCCTTATCTGCAGCTCCCTTCCACTTTAGGGGCGCACATCTTTTTCCAACTCACCATGAATTACATTTTGTCTGGTATTGCACGTTCCCCCACAAAATATATAGGGTATGAGTAAAATGTTAAATTGTTGATCTTTTATAGGCATTTTGATAAAAAAAAAAAATTTATTAAAAATAATTTAGTAAAATTTATTTTTCTTGTATCTAGAACCAGACTTGACCAAACCCGACCCGACAGATCGAGTCTGGGTCCTTATTGGATCTAGGTCTAGCTAGGACCCAATTGAGTTGGGTTAAGATCAGGGTCGATTTGGACCCAACCCATTAACACCTCTACGTCAGGTGATTCTAAAATTAAATACCAAATTTGAGATAAAAAATATAATCTTAAGCAACTCTTTTGTCCGAGGGAATAGAAATATAGTATATGCTCCAATAGGGGTACACTATACACGGTTTGTGATTCATACAACTATTCCTTGATGAGATAATCATAGAGGAAGAAGTGAAAGGAATGGAATCCTTTGGGTAAAGGCATGGACCTTAGCCATTGGGCTCATTGGTGGTCATGAGACTCGTTGTCATGGGGTCTACCACAAATTGCCTTACAGTGGGGAATTGTTCCACATGCTTTTGACGACATGCATTTCATGATTGGACTGCATTTTGTAGATTCCAAACCCAACGGTAGTCATGTAAGGATCTCTCTCTCTCTACTGCAATCTCTCAGTCGAGAAGGCCAATACATTGTTGGAAATGTGTCTCATCATGCCTCTTTTTCTTTTCGGAAATTTGTCTTTCAATATATAAAAGCTATATTTCAGTACATGTCAATTTTCATGTATATACTTGGTTTTATTTTTAAGCTTCAATAGGACGTAGCACTCCAGAGCAAATATGGTGTCACTAAATCTGGTGTCACGGGAGGGAAAACCTAATAGTACGTTTAAGTTTTTTGTAGAAATTATTTTTTATATATATATATTAATGTTGATATTAGCCCACTAGCTCAAATGAACATAAGAGCCCAACAGCTTCGATTGAATCTGGACCGATCTGACGATCACGACTTCATTTCGTATTTGAATTTTAATGTTTTTTTTTAGACGTGTATTCTTCAAAAATAGGATAATCTAATAAAAGTATCAAAAAAATAATTTGTAATAAATAAATTGACTAAAATACCCATGAAACGTTTCGGGGGTATTTTGGTTGATTTATTTTTTACGAATTATTTTTAAAATATTTTTATTAGGTGTGCTTTGATGAGAAGAATACATTCTTAAAATTTCAAGTTATTTGGATTTGTAGAAAAACTAATTAAAATTAAAATACGAAACAAAATCGTGAATGTTAGATCGGCCCAGATTCAATCTGGACTGCTGGGCTCATATGTTTATAAGAGCTAGTGGGCTAATCTCAATATTTCCCATATTTATATTTATATATATACACTTAATTTATTTAATTTCTAAATATCTTTTTATTAAATTATAGGATCTCTTGGATGACATCTTATTACGTGAGTCAATAGCGGACAAATAACATGTTTAGTTCATTACATAAGATTAATAGTTTGATGACAACTTGTTAGTCCAAATTTGCTGCATTTAAGGGAATTAAGGCATGAGTTGCACTTAAATCTAAACTCCTACTAACCATGAATGTAAGAGTTACAACTAAAATGTGTTATCTATAAAAGAGGTTAACCCCTAAAAAAATGGATAAGAGAAAAAGATAGAGAATGGTAAAAAAGAGATATGTAAGGTCAATGAGATTCACCATGGGGAGCTCATAAGGTTGTCCGTCATCAGAGGGCTTGGTCTATGAGATATGGTATAAAACCTGAAGTCCCTCGTGTGATTTAAAGACAGATCCGATAAAGTCGTTTATTGATTTTATTTATCTACACATGTATTTATTGATGTTATTTTTTATTTTATTTTTCTTGTATTGGGACTAACAGATGCTCTCTCCCTAAGACGGCCAATATTGATGCTCTCTCTCTCTCTCTAAAGTATCCAATATTGATGCTCTCTCTCTCTAGAATGGCCTACATCGATGCCTTGTGCCAAACTCTTACCGGCGTGCTTGATAAAATGTGGCATGCAGGATGCCAAACTCTTCCTTCCACTTACTTAGCTGCAGACCTATACACGAATGAATGTTTAGGAAATCGCAACATTCATGTGCAGCATTGTTCACAAGCACATGAATCAATTGACGGTGAATGGAGGTTCTCTCTCCCTCTCCCTCTCCCTCTCCCTCTCCCTCTCTCCCATGGACATCTGCAAATTACTCTCGCTTTCTCTCCTCACATGTAGAGGACTGCTTTTTCTCATTACATGTAGAGGAGTGAAGTGCAACATGAACATTACTCTCAATGTGTGGACATGCACATGAGCAGTAAATTATTTTTTCTCTCTCTTTACACATGCACACGAGTAATAAATCATTTTCTCTCTGTCTTTGCACATGCATACATTTTCTCTCTCTCTTTGCACATGCATACGAGTAAACTACTCTTTTTTCATTTTTCCCTTAAATAAGAAGCTTATGAGGCTTATCCCCTACAAGTTGTGTCCCTCACCCAAAACTATATTTTTTTTATTTTTTTCTAATTTTATTTAATATTTTTTTAGATCTCCTTTAAATCGCTGTCTCATAAACCTTTATTTTTATTTTATTTTATTTTATTTATTTATTGATATCATTTAGATCATCGTTTTGAACTTATCCAAACCCGATTAGGATCCTTGATCCAATAATCCAGCATAGATCTATGGATGAACTATCTACCCACCAATCTGGATTTTGAAAAGCTGCTTACAACTAAACAAGTCCAATCTCAGCCCTTTATCATAGTTAAACCATGTGTTGATGCATTTAAAGAAGGGTGTGGTTTGCGTAAGGTTGAGACCCTAAACAATCAAGGTAAGGCTCACCTCCAAACTGTGTCATGGGATGTAATTTCGCGGCAAAACTTTTTAAGATGTTTTGAGAATCTATATCTCTAATTATAAAACTTTAAACTCCAAAAATAGTTCAAATTAAACAGATCTACAACCTCAACAAAATCTTGAAAATGGACATTCCAGTTAATGTGTTGCCGGATATACTATTTTCAAAGCTTGAACTATCTTTTTTTTTCCACATCTATACATCTCGATGTCTAAATGGTCCTTTAGATGTTTTTTTAACATCTAAACAACTTTTTCAAAGGATTTTAGGGGTACATCTTAATTATATATTTACGGGCGTCAACCTTTTATATAACTACTGTGAGAGATCGAGAGAGTAAAATCCAAAGGAACTTTAAGGAATAAGAGAGAGAGAGAGAGAGAGAGAGAAGAGAGAGAGAGAGAGAGAATACGTAAGCTCGTAGGTAGGTTAATCTACACAGCTACAACTTGACTACAACGACAGTTATAACAAAGAAATCGTGGGTTAAAGGGATTCTAAATGTTCGGCTGGCATGCAATTCGAGCACTCATTTTTCCTACACTTTTTGAGCATCACCACCCGGATGCATCCCTTTCTTGACCTTAAGCACTCTTTCTTTCTTTTCTTTTTTTTCTTTTTTTTTTTTTATGAGTAATTCAGGGGAAGACAAGTCCCTGCACGTTTTTTTATATAGATTAGGGAGTTAGTTTGTTTTTAAAGTGTGCATGGTGTTAATAAGATTAGAGCCACAAAGTCGTAACTAAATATGGGAGTGCTATCAGCTTCTTTCTTACCTTAAGGCATTTAGATACAGACAAGTATACTATCAGTCCGGAATATGAGTCCATCATGATTTTCCATGGACATGATACACGTCCTAAATCACTATAGATATATTTCTATAATCATCAGAATTCTTGATAGAGATATGATAAAAGTTTTTTATTAGCTGTCAACCTAACACAACCTTCCTCCTCATCCCAGCTTGGACCACAAGTGAAGTCAAATACATTTTCATATTACATTCATAAATTTAAAGCTAAAAAATAGTGCAAGTCTAACCATATAAGAAGATAAAAAATAAATGGCCTAAATTAATTAAAAATAAATACAACTTTTTAAGATTTAAAATGCATTTTTCATTATCATGGCGGTCAAGATTATCAAGCTGTGTGAAATTTTGGATAGATATTGGAAGAAGGCATATGCACAAAATAGAGCAGATCGACCGACGCACCAAATCCTTATCCTTCAGATTTTCTCGTCCCCCTTCTTTACCGTTATTCATATTCATGAACATTCAAAATCATCATCAATCACATTGAATTGGAGCTTTCTCCATCAAGATTGTTGAGAATGCATTCGCAATAATTAGCTTTGGACTGTCTCTGTGCAAACTTTTGTTTTTTTTTTGAAATCTTTGTGCTAACTTTTGTTCATATCCAAAACAGTGCATAAACTCTAATCAATTCATGATTGTTCATCTCAACTCTTTCGTCATAAGATTTGGCAAGCACCTTTTTGACCGCATGAGATCATGGAGAAATCCTGATGTCATTTAGAATCTTATTTACTTCATTAACTTGTACATTATTTTGAGGCTCTCAACATGCTCCATGCTAAGAGG